GTAGCTAGTTCACCCTTTGGTCATTATTTAGCATCATTTTCATTCATATTCATTTCTCATCTCCATTAATTAATGAGCGGTGTCTATGAGAATATTATTAAAAGTGCCTTCCTTTCCATGCTTCCCAAGGTTTCTTGGAAAATTACCCATCCTTCAAAGCTAAGCTTACATTCTAATTTTTCTACAAATTTATCAATTACAGGTAATTCTTTGACTTAAAATGCCTTGGCTTGAGACCCCGGCTTTTACCAACTGTTTCATGGCATATATGATTCCTAATGGCTTCAGCTGACAATAATGAGATGAGTGGTTGACTAGCTACAGTAGTAAACAGTGATTTAAAAAATGTCTTAGGCTCCATCCTGGCTAACATGGTGGAAACCCCATCTCTACTAAAAATATAACAAATTAGCCAGGTGTGGTGGTGGGCGCCTGTAGCCCCAGCTACTTGGGAGGCTGAGGCAGGAGAATGGCATGAACCTGGGAGGCGGAGGTTGCAGTGAGCCGAGATTGTGCTACTGTACTCCAGTCTGGGCAACAGAGCGAGACTCCATCTCACAGAAAAAAAAAAACAACAACAAAACAGTCTTAGGCTGATTCACGAAATAGAGAAACACATTTGCTTCTGAATTGAAAAACAATTTTTGTCAAGGTTTTTTTTAGGCCAGATGCAGTGGTTTATGCCTGTAATCCCAGCATTTGGGAAGCCAAGGTGGGTGGATCACTTTGAGCTCAAGGGTTTAAGACCAGCCTGGGTAATATAGCGAAACCTGCCTCTACAAAAAAATATTAAAATTAGCACAGCATGTTGGCTCACACCTGTGGTCCCAGCTACCCAGGAGGATGAGGCTGGAGGATCACTTGAGCCCTGAAAGCAGAGGTTGTGAGCCACGATCACACCACTGCACTCCAGCCTGGGCGAAAGAGTGAGACCCTATCTCAAAGAAAAAAAGAAAGATATTTGTCTACTGTAAAAGATTTAAGAATAGAGACACTGTCAAATAAAAAGGAAGATAAATAATTGGCAAAACATCTGACTTGAAAAGAAACCTGAAAGCGTGAACCATGCCTGACTTGCAGGAGTGGTTTATAATCTTGACTTAACCGTCATTCTGGAACCACTTAGATAGTATTTTGATGGTTGCCTATACCCGGCTCATAATGCAGGCTCTCTTTTTCTGAATAATCCGATCACTTATAGCCAGAACCATTCATTTATGTATTAAACAAATAACTACGGACTGCCTTCTGTGACTCAGGCAATATTGTTCTATGTTGTTTAGGAGCACAGTAGTGAAAAAGACACAGTCTCTGACTTCAGAGGAGAGTGAGAGACAAAAACAAAACAACCCAATAACTTTATAATACAGAACCTTATGTACAACAACAAGGGAAAACAGGAAATAAGAGAGCTCAACAAAATGCACTTAACCATAAAAAACTTGTTTCACCCTTGGTCTCATGTCTTAATCTCCCCCAATGTGACTGTAAGCTCCTTGAAGGCAGAAACCACCTTTAACAGGTCCGCATACTCTCTAGTACCCAGCTCAGTAACATGTCCACCATAACCCATCACTAAACATTTGTTAATAGCTTGACTGATCAATTTCACTGAAATGAAATGAGGCTATGGATGTAAAAGTGTGTTTGCATTATTTTTTGCCTTCCATGGAGGTTTTTAGTTGTTCATCTTTGTGTTTTCACCACCAATAAATAAGGATGTCTGATGTACCATTTAATGCTTGCTAAATTTATGGGTAGGAGGAAAAATTTTGAGCTTCTATTCCTTGAAATGCAAGAGCTCTGTGGTGACATTTCTTCTCTGCTAGCTAGTGGTGCAATGGACTAAGAAGGGAGTTTGGCTCTGCCACTTAATAGGTGTTAATCTCTTGGGAACTTTGATTCCTCAGCTCGAAGTAAGATCAGTGTTCCCTTCCACCTTACTCAGTAGGCACATTTTTGTTTTATAACTAGTTTGGGTGCAGGGGGAGATGTAACACCCTATTCATAAACGGATGGAATGTGTCATGGCATCTTCCTTTGCTTCTGTTGTTCCACAGTAAATTCCCAATACTTATGGGGTTTTAGTCCCAGTGAATTATTTCCCTCAAAAACCAGGCAGGATAATAATGAACCACTTTCTTGCATTTTCCATCAAGACAGCTCTTTGTGAGTTCTAAATGTTCTATCTAGATTCAAAGAAGCTGGTTTCTTCATGAGTGGTTGGAATAAGACTTTTCTTGGAAGCTACTGAATATGGATTAGTTGGATTGTTTCATAGGAAATAAAAAGCAGGCTCTAGGGTAACTACTTCAGCACTTAATTGGGTTAGCAAAGAGCTGCAAATGAGAGATTTTCCCGTAGGAGGGAAAGGATGTTTATGGCTTCCACCCCCTTAGGTGATGCATTTTAACCTAAATGTTAGTCTTCCATGCGGCCTTTAATTTACTAACCATTACAAGAATCTATTAGAGCAGAAAACGTCAGGTTGAAAAATTGACACATCACCGGAGTTAATAAGAACCCAGCCTCTTATTAGATACAAATGGAGAGCCCTCCAACTGCCCAAGAGCCTGTTGAAGTCATGTTTGCTGCAGCTCCAAAGCAGTTGAATCTTTACTGCTCAGAGGCTGGACCAAGGAAACTGCCCAGGCACTCAAGCCAGAGTTAGCAGGGGCCCATGGCCTGCACTTTATTCAGGTGTCACTATATTTTCCTCTCAGAAATGCTGTGCATGTCACAGGGTGGATATCCCTCTGCCTGGGACTCCCTTGGGAAGTGTTTTCCGTAACAAAGACAAACATGCCATGCCTGTCACCAGGGGCAGATTGTGGACTGTGTAAACCACTCCAGCAGAGGGAGGCTGAGGGACTCCGGGCCATTCCGATTTAGCTCTAAGTTATGGTCTTTGTTGCCTTTCCACATTCAGACTGAAATGTGATTCCCCTAGCTTTCTTTTTTGGAAAATACTGGTGATGAGTTCCACCACTAGAAACAAAGGCTGTTGACAGAAAAGGCTTCTGATAGGGAAGGGGCTTCTTCATGTGTTCTCAAAGGAGACAGTTGCTTCAAGCAAGCTGAGGCAGGATGCCAGGTCTAGGAATAAGAGGTCCAGATCACAAAAGGGTCATCTTTATGGATTAGGCTGGGCGTGAAGCAGTTTCCTCTGCAAGAGCAGTACCATGCACACAGAATTTAGGGCCAGGCAGACACGCACGAGTTCTTCTCCACGACTTACTGTGTAATCCTGGGCAAACTGCTTGGCCTCTCAGAGCATCAGTTTTTGCAAGTTGTGAGAAATAAATAAAGAATGTTAGGCATGTAACACAGTGTCTGAAAGTAAGAGTTCTATATGAGTGGTTATTGATTTGAAAACATATTCCTTCACCCAGCACAAATGATGTTCCTTGTGTGCCAGGCCCTGTATGAGGGACAGGTCCTCCTCCGTGACCTCACTGTTTAATAAACCATGTAAGTATATCTTCAGCACAAAGCACACCCCACCACCACCTCTCTTCCCAATGAGAAGGGCCAATTGCATACTAACTTCACTTTGTTGAGTAGCTAGAAATCTTGCAGGTCATCCCCCTTTGAGTAGCCCTCCAGACTCAGCCACTTCTACCTTCAGTTCACCCATAATTCTCTATCTGTGCACTAGCACACTAAGTTATTGTTGTTTGTTAATCCTTTATCTCCTCCCGTGAAGTCCTAAAGGATGAGGATTATCTATTCATTTGATCTATTCATCTGATTATGTATTCATCTCTGTAACCCAAATGATTAATAGATCATTTGATCTGTTCATTTGATCGTTTATTCATCTCTGTAGGCCAAGGGTTTCATGCATTACTCAGCACAGGCACACAGAGATTCAATCCTATTGCTGAGTATATTGATTTCCAGCTGGGAATTTTTTCTGGGAAAATAGCCCTGCCTTCCATCTTTGAAGAGCCTCTTCTGTGCCCTGGTTTGGTTGGTCTTGTCATTTTCTATTACTTTGGTTCTAGCCTCAGTTTCCTAATCTCTATAAGGGGCTAACGGAACCTCCTTCATTGGGAGTTTATGATGCTGACTGGAGACAATGCAGCTTCTCCGTGTCCAACACAGTTCTAGGCACAAAGCCAAATACCAAAAAAAAGTTGATTCCATTTTTGCCCTCAGTCAAGTCTCGTTGCCAATATAAGACGACTAAAAATACAAGACAGAATATGAGTGTCATATGAGTGGCACAGACATTCTTCCAACTTGCACCTAGCCTCTGCCATATGCCACAGAATTTGGTTGAAATGGGAGGATAAAAACATGCATAAAACAGTTCCAGGAAAACAGTGGTAAGTGTTGGACAAAAAGATCTCAGGAAGAGGGTGAAAAGTCTTTTACCCAGATCCTCAGTCTGGGGCTGTTAGAGCTGTCTTTAGCACCAGGCTGGAAAGCAGGAGGCTGTCCCAGAATTGATCTCCCCTAGTGTTTTGGAAACACACACACATACACACCAATCATCAAGTTCTTCAGCATTCATTATGTGTCAGACACCGCTAAATGATTTACAGGCATTATCTCACTGAACTCTTAGAACAACTGTGTGAGGTGGATATGAATTTCCCTACTTCACAGCTGGCCACTTTGAGGCTCAGAGAGGCACCATAGCTTGAACATAGTCAAGCAACAAGTGAATGGTTGAGGAATCCACCTGCTGGGAGTTTTACTGGCCGACTGGAAAGCAGAGAGAGGGTGGACCAGCACAAAGCCGCGGGGGGGGCTGGTAATGAGACAGGAAAGTTGGGTTCAAACCTGGGTCGCATGATCCCCAAATCCCTAGGAACCGAGGCAGAAGAACAGTAAGGAAAAAAAGGGGTGCAGGCTGGTGGGGAGGGGGTGCCCGGGAGGCCGGGAGAGAGGAGTCACGGTGGTTGTGCGCCTTCCTCGTCCCCAGTCATAGGTCAAGCCTCTCCCCTCCCGCCCTCTCACCCTCCCAACCTTATTTAGAAACCGTGTCCCCGAGACAGGAAGGGCGGCGGGCCGAGAAGCACGGAGAGTCCCGGTCTCATTTCCTTTCGAATCCCCCTGTGGAATTTCATTTCATACGGTGAGGAAATCGGAGCGCGAGACCATCGGCTGGTCTGCAGCTTCGCAGCTCCGGGGCGCCTCCCCTCTGGCGGCTGGAGGTGGGCGGCTCCCGGCGCAGGTCGGGCGAGTCTGGGGGCGGGGAGAGGCCGGGCCCGGATCGCCTCTAGTCGGGAGTGAAAATAGCTGTGGGCTCGCGCAGTACCAGGCACCGCGCTAAGCCTTCTACGCTTTATCTCTAATCCTCCCAAGTGACTTTAGAGAGGAGGAGACTGACGCCGAGAGGCTGAGCAATTTGCTCAAGGTCACACAGCCGGGACTGAAAGCCACAATCGGAGTAAATCCAAATCCCGTGTTCTTTGTGTACGTTCCTCTGCCTGACGGGGAGGTGGCCACTGGCCTAGGTTACAGCTGAAAGGAGACGGGAAGAAAAGGGGGCAGACGGAACAGGGCGCACTTCTCACCTGGGGGAGGAGGCGGCAGGACGGCGCGGCTGGAGCCACTGGGCTCAGTCCCCGCCTGGCCCCTGCGCGCCTAGATCCGGGTGGGAGGAAAGCAGGAGCCGGGAAGCAGGCGGGGCGGGGCGCTCAGGGAGGGAGGGAGGGAGGAGCGGCCGGAGGAGGGGGCTGGAGGGCGGGGGCCTGACCCCTCCAGCGGGAGAGCGGCCCCGCCCCGCCGCCTCGCCCCTTGCTGCCCACCGCGCCCGGCCATTGGAGCGGCGCCCTGTCCGTCCCGCCCCGCCGCCGCGCCGCGAGCCTCCAGCGCCGCGCAGGGCTCAGGCGGTGAGAGCTGCGCAGCGCTGGCTGCTGGCTGGCCTCGCGGAGACGCCGAGCGGACGCGGCCGGCGCCGGCTTGTGGGCTCGCCGCCTGCAGCCATGACCCTCGCAGCCTGTCTCTCGGCCTCGGCCCGGGACGTCTAATCACACGGTCGCGCGCAGCTTCTGGAGAGCCGGCCGCTGCCCCCTCATCGCCGCATCACACTCCCTTCCCGGGAGCTGGGAGCAGCGCGGGCAGCCGGCGCCCCCGTGCAAACTGGGGGTGTCTGCCAGAGCAGCCCCCGCCGCTGCCGCTGCTGCCCCCGACGCTGGCCATGGCCTGGCGGGGCGCAGGGCCGAGCGTCCCGGGGGCGCCCGGGGGCGTCGGTCTCAGTCTGGGGTTGCTGCTGCAGTTGCTGCTGCTCCTGGGGCCGGCGCGGGGCTTCGGGGACGAGGAGGAGCGGCGCTGCGACCCCATCCGCATCTCCATGTGCCAGAACCTCGGCTACAACGTGACCAAGATGCCCAACCTGGTGGGGCACGAGCTTCAGACGGACGCCGAGCTGCAGCTGACAACTTTCACACCGCTCATCCAGTACGGCTGCTCCAGCCAGCTGCAGGTGGGCGCCCCCACCCCCACCCCTGGCAGGACCCCTTGGGGAGGGACGCTCCAAACTAACTTTGCAGAGCCCATGCCAAGTTGATCATCCTAGCCTGAAGGAGACAGCTCTCCTGGAAAACTGATTTCCATCCCCACCCCCACTTTCTCAGGGACTGGAAGCCAAAACGTTGTGTAAGTCATCTGGCCTGGGAAAGAACCCACTCTTACACCCCGCCCTTCCGTTTTTCTTCCTTGCCCACCCATGTCTGGCCAGACCCCTAACCCCAGTGGAGCTGAGGGTTATCTCTGCCAAGGATTCTGGCCGCCAGTGCTCGGTCGGCAAGTGGGAGGGAGCCAGCTGCAGCTAAGACTTGGAGGGAGAGATAAGGAGACCATCCCTCACGGACCTTCCCTCTCCCCACTATTTTTGGGGTGTTATTAAATGAAACACTACCGTACCTTTTTCTGCCGAATAGCCCCTCCTCACGGCGTCCCGCAGGGTTTTAGAGGTCATGCATGAAGGAGTGGTTGGGTTGGCTTGAGTTCTTTCTTATCCTCAAGAGTTGAAGGCACGTTTAATGCTTGGAGGGTGACAAGAAGCTGCAGGAAGGTGGTTGGTATATTGGAAGAAATTTTTCTTGCAGTCGTTAAAAAATGTAAAGCATATGTAATGATAGAGAAAATGTTTATTCCACAGTAATAAGAATTTGCATATACAGGGTGATTATAATCCTGCAAAAAAAAAATCATTGGGGTAATAAAAAACTGAAAGGAAAATTTTTAAAGTGTTAACATTGGTTATGTTTGGGTTGTTGAGGCTGGATGATTTTTAGAAATTTAGAAAACAGAGAAGTTGTGGGAAAAAGTACACGTTAGTTGTCCAGGCTTCAGAAATCTGGTTTCTGGCTGGGCGCGGTGGCTCACGCCTGTAATCCCAGCACTTTGGGAGGCCGAGGCAGGTGGATCACGAGGTCAGGAGTTCGAGACCAGCCTGACCAACATGGTGAAATCCTGTCTCTACTTAAAGTACAAAAATTAGCCGGGCGTGGTGGTGCTCACCTGTAATCCCAGCTACTCAGGAGGCTGAGGCAGGAGAATCTCTTGAACCTGGGAGGTGGAGGTTGCAGTGAGTCAAGATTATGCTATTGCACTCTAGCCTGGGCGACAAGAGCAAAACTCCATATCCAAAAAAAAAAAAAAAAAGAAATCTGTGGTTCTGGCTGTAACTTCTGAGAGATAAGAAACAGACATATAGCTTACTTACTAGGTGCATGTTTTTACATAGGTCATTTTAAAACTTGGTTTGTGGTTTTGGAAAGATGGTCGGGATTAGACCTGTTGCTGCTGAAATATCCCTTTGGAAGTTCCAGAATTTTAGAACTAGGTTATAAAAGCTTAAGAAATGATCCTCCAGCTCTCAGTTTGGAAACAGCACATATCCTGACATCAGTGGTAATTTGTTGGAGAAACAGCTTTTGCAGGGATATATATTTTTAATTACATGTATCCTGGGGAAAGTGGCCAAGCTGTTTTGAAGGACAAGACTGGATCCCTTTACATGCTGGAAAATAGTTACTTGTAACTCTAGACTTCATAGACAACATCTGTAAGGAGCCAAGCAGACTGTTTATCAATGCTGGAGGAATTGAGGACAGCAACTGGACTCTCCCCTGCTGGTATTGCAGTTTCAGCGACTTAACATTTACATTTTCCTATTGTGCTTCATTATTATTCATTGAGGAAACCTGGCCAAACAAATCCCTAGTGACCAGAGACCTCAATCTGCATCCCATCCTTGAATCTAACAGTGTCTCAGTTGGGCCATTTTTTGTTTCAGTATGGGACTAGTTTAAACAAATTTTTAAGGGGTAAAGTAGGGAGAAGAGAATACTAACAGGATCTACATTTTTTTAAACTTTTATTTTTAAAATGATAAAGAAATGGGGATAAAAATAAACCACCTGAGTCATATTAGTTTCTTTAGCTTTTTCAAATAGTATCTAAAATGGAAGGAGATTGAAAGCCAGTTTTTTAAAATTTATTTCAAGTGTTGTGCAAAGAGGGCTTATGCAATTCTTCACACCCTATTTATTTTATTTATTTATTTGTGTACATTCCTCTGGAAAGGATTACTAGAGCCAAACTAAGAAAAGTGTGTAAGTGATGGATTATCAGGCATCCTTGTTTGAGGTCAGAGTAAACAGACAGACTCCCCATAGGTTGGTTTAAAAGTAGATAAGTACATTGCCTGGAAGCATTCAACTCAGCTTTGTGGGAGCATTTGGTCAAACTTCCAAGTCATTGTTTTTTTTGTGTTTTTTTTTTTTTTGTTCATTTTGTTACTTTTCCAGTTCTTCCTTTGTTCTGTTTATGTGCCAATGTGCACAGAGAAGATCAACATCCCCATTGGCCCGTGCGGCGGCATGTGCCTTTCAGTCAAGAGACGCTGTGAACCCGTCCTGAAGGAATTTGGATTTGCCTGGCCAGAGAGTCTGAACTGCAGCAAATTCCCACCACAGAACGACCACAACCACATGTGCATGGAAGGGCCAGGTGATGAAGAGGTGCCCTTACCTCACAAAACCCCCATCCAGCCTGGGGAAGAGTGTCACTCTGTGGGAACCAATTCTGATCAGTACATCTGGGTGAAAAGGAGCCTGAACTGTGTTCTCAAATGTGGCTATGATGCTGGCTTATACAGCCGCTCAGCCAAGGAGTTCACCGATATCTGGATGGCTGTGTGGGCCAGCCTGTGCTTCATTTCCACTGCCTTCACAGTACTGACCTTCCTGATCGATTCTTCTAGGTTTTCCTACCCTGAGCGCCCCATCATATTTCTCAGTATGTGCTATAATATTTATAGCATTGCTTATATTGTCAGGCTGACTGTAGGCCGGGAAAGGATATCCTGTGATTTTGAAGAGGCAGCAGAACCTGTTCTCATCCAAGAAGGACTTAAGAACACAGGATGTGCAATAATTTTCTTGCTGATGTACTTTTTTGGAATGGCCAGCTCCATTTGGTGGGTTATTCTGACACTCACTTGGTTTTTGGCAGCAGGACTCAAATGGGGCCATGAAGCCATTGAAATGCACAGCTCTTATTTCCACATTGCAGCCTGGGCCATCCCCGCAGTGAAAACCATTGTCATCTTGATTATGAGACTGGTGGATGCAGATGAACTGACTGGCCTGTGCTATGTTGGAAACCAAAATCTCGATGCGCTCACCGGGTTCGTGGTGGCTCCCCTCTTTACTTATTTGGTGATTGGAACTTTGTTCATTGCTGCAGGTTTGGTGGCCTTGTTCAAAATTCGGTCAAATCTTCAAAAGGATGGGACAAAGACAGACAAGTTAGAAAGACTGATGGTCAAGATCGGGGTGTTCTCAGTACTGTACACAGTTCCTGCAACGTGTGTGATTGCCTGTTACTTTTATGAAATCTCCAACTGGGCACTCTTTCGGTATTCTGCAGATGATTCCAACATGGCTGTTGAAATGTTGAAAATTTTTATGTCTTTGCTGGTGGGCATCACTTCAGGCATGTGGATTTGGTCTGCCAAAACTCTTCACACGTGGCAGAAGTGTTCCAACAGATTGGTGAATTCTGGAAAGGTAAAGAGAGAGAAAAGAGGAAATGGTTGGGTGAAGCCTGGGAAAGGCAATGAGACTGTGGTGTAAGGCTAGTCAGCCTCCACGCTTTCTTCATTTTGAAGCAGGGAATGCCAGCATTTTGGAGGAAATTCTACTAAAAGTTTTATGCAGTGAATCTCAGTTTGAACAAACTAGCAACAATTAAGAGACCCCACCCCAACCCCAGCATCAAAAAAACCAATGATTTTGCTGCAGACTTTGGAATGATCCAAAATGGAACAGCCAGTTAGAGGCTTTCAAAGCTGTGAAAAATCAAAAACGTTGATCACTTTAGCAGGTTGCAGCTTGGAGCGTGGAGGTCCTGCCTAGAGTCCAGGAAGTCCAGGGCGATACTGTTTTCCCCTGCAGGGTGGGATTTGAGCTGTGGATTGGTAACTTGCAGGGAGAAAGATTAACTTTTTTAACCCTTTACAATTTTAAATACTAACTGGGTCTTTCAGATAGCAACGCAATCTATAAACACTGGAAACGCTGGGTTCAGAGAAGTGTTACAAGAGTTTTATAGTTTGGCTGATCTAACATAAACATCTTCTGTGGTGCACTGTCTGCTGTTTAGAACTTTGTGGATTGCACTCCCAAGAGGTGGTGGTAGAATCTTTCAGTGCCTTTGTCATAAAACAGAGTTGTCTGAACAAACAAATGTACTGTACTCACACACATAAGGTATCCAGTGGATTTTTCTTCTCTCTCTTCCTCTCTTAAATTTCAACATCTCTCTTCTGGGCTGCTGCTGTTTTCTTCATTTTATATTAATGACTCAAAAAAAAGGTATTTTTATAGGAATTTTTGCACTGCAGCATGCTTAAAGAGGGGAAAAGGAAGGATGATTCACTTTTTGACAATCACTTAATTCAAAGGAAAATGAGATTTACTAAGTTGACTTACCTGACCGACCCCAGAGACCTATTGCATTGAGTGGTGGGGACTTAATATATTTTACTTGTGTGATTGCATCTATGCAGACGCCAGTCTGGAAGAGCTGAAATGTTAACTTTCTTGGCAACTTTGCATTCGCACAGATTAGCTGTGTAATTTGTGTGTGTCAATTAGAATTAAAAGCACATTCTTGGACCATGACATAGTATACTCAACTGACTTTAAAACTAGGGTCAACTTCAACTTGCATTCTCAGAATGATAGTGCCTTTTTAAATTTTTTATTTTTTATTTTTTAAAGCATAAGAATGTTATCAGAGTCTGGTCTACTAACGACAATGGAGACTTTTTCAGTTTTATAAAGGGAACTGAGGACAGCTAATCCAACTACTTGGTGCATAATTGTTTCCTAGTAATTGGCAAAGGCTCCTTGTAAGATTTCATTGGAGGCAGTGTGGCCTGGAGTATTTATATGGTGCTTAATGAATCTCCAGAATGCCAGCCAGAAGCTTGATTGGTTAGTGGGGAATAAAGTGTAGACCATATGAAATGAACTGCAAACTCTAATAGCCCAGGTCTTAATTGCCTTTAGCAGAGGTATCCCAAGCTTTTAAAATTTATGCTATACGTTCTTCATGAGGGGGTATCCCCTAGCAGCCGCTTGAAAATTGCACTTCTCTTAAAACTGTAACTGGCCTTTCTCTTACCTTGCCTTAGGCCTTCTAATCATGAGATCTTGGGGACAAATTGTTGACTGTGTCACAGGTTGCACTCCTTGTAACTCATACCTGTCTGCTTCAGCAACTGCTTTGCAATGACTTATTTATTAATTCATGCCTTTAAAAAAATAGGAAGGGAAGCTCTTTTTTTTTTTTTTTAAATCACACTTTGTGTGATTGAAAAAAACATTTCCAGGGACTCAGAATTCCAAATAGGTGGTCAAATTCTGGAAATAAGCATTTCCTCTGTTTTAAAAATGTGGTTTGAGCCTTATGCCCATAGTCTGACATTTCCCTTTCTTCTTTCCTTTTCGTTTTTGTGTGGTTCTTGAGCTCTCTGACATCAAGATGCATGTAAGGTCCATCGTATGTTTTGGAAGGCAAAGTCTTGGCTTTTGAGACTGAAGCTAAGTGGGCACAGGTGGCCCCTGCTGCTGTGCCCAGTCTGAGTACCTTGGCTAGACTCTGGGTCAGGCTCCAGGAGCATGAGAATTGATCCCCAGAAGAACCATTTTAACTCCATCTGATACTCCATTGCCTATGAAATATAAAATGTGAACTCCCTGTGCTGCTTGTAGACAGTTCCCATAACTGTCCAGGGCCCTGGAGCACGCACCCAGGGGCAGAGCCTGCCCTTACTCACGCTCTGTTCTGGTGTCTTGGGAGTTGTGCAGGGACTCTGGCCCAGGCAGGGGAAGGAAGACCAGGCGGTAGGGGACTGGTCTTGCTGTTAGAGTATAGAGGTTTGTAATGCAGTTTTCTTTGTAACGTGTCAGTGATTGTGTGACCAAGGCAGCATCTAACAGAAAGCCAGGCGTGGAGTAGGTGATCAATGCTTGTCAATGACTAAATAATAACAATAAAAGAGCACTTGGGTGAATCTGGGCACCTGATTTCTGAGTTTTGAGTTCTGGAGCTAGTGTTTTGACAATGTTTTGGGTTTTGACATGTGTTTTCCACAAATCTCTTACCTTTTCAGGGCAAAGTGTATTTGATCAGAAGTGGCCATTTGGATTAGTAGTCTTAGCAATGCTACAGGGTTATAGGCCTCTCCTTTCACATTCCAGACAATGGAGAGTGTTCATGGTTTCAGGAAAAGAACTTTGTGGCTGAGGAGTCAGTTACCAGTGACCTTCAATCAACTCCATCACTTCTTAAATCGGTATTTGTTAAAAATATCAGTTATTGTTGTATTTATTGAGTGCCAACTGTATGTAAAGCCCTGAAATAGATAATCTCTGTTCTTCTAACTGATCTAGGGTGGGGACGCACCCAGGTCTGCTGAACTTTACTGTTCCTCTGGGAAAGGAGCAGGGACCTCTGGAATTCCCATCTGTTTCACTGTCTCCATTCCGTAAATCTCTGCCTGTGTGAGCCACCACACCCAGCCTGGGTCTCTCTACCTTTAACACATCTCTCATCCTTTTCCCAGGATTCCTTCCAAGTCAGTTACAGGTGGTTTTAACAGAAAGCATCAGCTCTGCTTCATGACAATCTCTGGAGAAATCCCTTAGGAAGACTATAAGAGTAGTCCACAAGGACATGGGCCCACACATCTGCTTTGGCTTTGCCGGCAATTCAGGGCTTGGGGCGTTCCATGTGACTTGTATGGGTGTGTTTGAGGACAGCATCTTGCTAGAGAGAAGGTGAGCATTGTTTTTTTTTCTATGAAACCTGCAGTAAATAGGTATGATTGTAGCTTCCTCAGAAATCCCTTGGCCTCCAGAGATTAAACATAAATGCAATGGCACCTCCATCCAGCGTCCTTTCTGGTAGACTCCTTTCTCCTGCTTATATAGGCCAAACCTCAGGGCAGGGAAACATGGGAGTAGAATGGTGCTGGCCAGAACCATCTGCTTGATCTTCTTGGTTGATTCATATCCTCTTTCCTTTATGGAGACCCACTTCCTGATCGCTGAGACTATTTCTGAACTGGCAACTTACTTGGGCCTGAAACTGGAGAATTTAATTTCAGAGATGCTCTCTGATTTTCCTCTTCCAGGTCACTCTCTCACCTGCACTCCCCAAACTCAGGTTCTGGGAAGCTCGTGTGTCTAGACTCTGATTTTAGATTCTGTTCAGCACCTTTAGCTCTATATTCTCTGGCTCCCCGCATCCTCATGGTCACTGAATTAAATGCTTATTGTGTTGAGAACCAAGCTGGGACCTGAGGACACAAAGATGAGCTCAGCAGTCTCAGCCCTAGAGGAACAGACTCAGGGATTTCACCAGGCCGGTACAATATTTGATTTCTGGTGAGGTGGCCACAGCTGCAGTTAGGGAAGGGAGCCACAGAGCACAGACTGTCAAAGGAACCTCTTTTTTGTTTGTTTGTTTGACACAGAGTCTTGTTCTTTTGCCCAGGCTGGGGTGCAATGGCACAATCTTGGCTCACTGCAACCTCTGCCTCCCAGGTTCAAGCGATTCTCCTGCCACAGCCTCCCGAGTAGCTGGGACTACAGGTGTCTGCCACCACGCCCAGCTACTTATTGTATTTTTAGTAGAGATGGGGTTTTACTGTGTTGGCCAGGCTGGTCTCGAACTCCTGACCTCATGATCTGTCCGCCTCGGCCTCCTAAAGTGCTGGGATTACAGGTGTGAGCCACCACACCTGGCCTGGAAGGAACCTCTTAAAATCAGTTTACATCTTGTATTTTGTTCTGTGATGGAGGACACTGGAGAGAGTTGCTATTCCAGTCAATCATGTCGAGTCACTGGACTCTGAAAATCCTATTGGTTCCTTTATTTTATTTGAGTTCCCATCTGGGTTTGTATTATGTCTTGCAAATGACCTGAGTTATCACTATTCCTCCAGGGTTAGGTCATAGATCTTGGAAACTACTTAGAGAGCATTTTGCTCCTACCAAGGATCAGATACTAGAGCCCTACATAATGGATTTCATTTCACTCTAGCCTACATAGAGCTTTCTGTTGCTGTCTCCTGCCATGCACTTGTGCAGTGATTACACACTTGACAGTACCAGGAGACAAATGACTTGTAGATGCCCCGACATGCCTGTTCCCCTTGGCAAGCTCAGTTGCCCTGATAGTAGCCTGTTTCTGTTTCTGATCTACCTTTTTTCTCTTATTTGCATTAGCCAATTTCCAGAATTTACCCAGGCAATTTGTAGAGGACTTTTTTGGGGTCCTGTATGAGCCATGTCCTCAAAGCTTTTATACCTCCTTGCTCTCCTACAATATTCAGTACATGACCACTGTCATCCTAGAAGGCTTCTGGAAAGAGGGGCAAGAGCCACTCTGTCCCACAAAGGTTGGGTCCATCTTCTCTCCCAGGTTGTGAAAGTTTTCAAATTGTACAAGTAGGCTGGGGCCCTGACTTGGCTGTGGGCTTTGGGAGGGGTAAGCTGCTTTCTAGATCTCTCCCTGCGAGGCACGGAGGTGTTTCTGAATTTTGTCTACCTCACAGGGATGTTGTGAGGCTTGAAAAGGTCAAAAAAATGAAGGCCCCTTGGGTTCTTTGTAAGAAAGGTTGATTAAATATTAGGTGTAATCTGCAAAAAGATAACATGTGACTCCCCCTGCTCTGTGCAGCTGTTGGGCTGGATGCTCTGTGGCCTTTCTTGGATCCTCATGCCACCCCACAGCTCCAGGAACCTTGAAGCCAATCTGGGGGACTTTCAGATGTTTGACAAAGAGGTACCAGGCAAACTTCCTGCTACACATGCCCTGAATGAATTGCTAAATTTCAAAGGAAATGGACCCTGCTTTTAAGGATGTACAAAAGTATGTCTGCTTCGATGTCTGTACTGTAAATTTCTAATTTATCACTGTACAAAGAAAACCCCTTGCTATTTAATTTTTGTATTAAAGGAAAATAAAGTTTTGTTTGTTAGCTTGTGTGTGACTTGGCATATTTCTGAAAGTATATGACAGCCACTAGGAAGCATATACACCCAGCAGTGACAAATAGAGGATTCAGTTTGCAGGGCAGATTGGAAACTGCTTTCTGAGGGCCTCTTTCTTTTTTGCTGGGGCTCTTTTTCCCCTGTGGGATTTCTCCTGGGTCAGCAAACCCCCACAGTCCAAGGTCAACAGAATTGATTACTAATATGGGCATCAGTAACACTCAAGTAGGTCACATGATGCTTTGGATATAACTATAGTTCTCAAGTTGTTATCCCAATGACACCTCTTTTTCTGGCATTTTCAATGCATGTGGCTATCTTTGCCTTCCAAGCCCCACTGACTTAATCTGATGGCCTAAAAAAGAGTTTTCCCATCATTGCTAGAACTTTTGGCCTCTTAAAAAAGGGAAAGGAAAGGGGGCTTTTTTTTTCTTCAGATTTTTTTTTTTTTCTGGCTACACAGTGGTTCTGTTTGTGTAATATACATGGGCATATGCCACATTTGTCAATCAGGAAAGTGGCTTCTTTAGCTAATTTTATAAATTGTGTGGTCTGTGTCGCCATATCCAGAAAAGTCATCAGACAAAGCAAATTCAAAGCTACTATGAGGATATTGTTATGGGAGCCAGTAATATTATAGACCACACAGACAGAGAGAAGGAGAGCCATCACCGTCTGCTGATGTCCCAGATGTGAATGTTAGGCCTCTTGGTTTGCTTTTAAATTGCTTGCCACCATTTAGCTTCGCTTGAATACCACCCTGTTTTGGTGCGAGTAAAAAGCCCATTGAACAAGGATCTGCAATACTACTCTCCTTATCTGCAGATTGCTACTGGACACTTACCTCAAACCTTAAACGAAGGCAAGTATGTAATTTAAATGGTTTTCCCAGTAGGGCTGTGTTTCTCTTTCCATTACCTCTTCATTAAGTAGTTATGAAGTTAAGGAAAGTCAACACAATCTGGAATGAATTCTTAATTCCTTGCACTTAAAGAAACATTTTCTGAATAGAAAATACTTTCATTTACATGATTTCATTTTATTCTCCTGGCATTTCTGAAGTCAGTAGGGCAGGCCTGATGACCTTCCTTTAGAGTGGAGAAACCAAGACGTAGAGAGGGCGAGGACAGCCCAAAGGGGTTGGAGAAGGTTGGTTAGCAGGTCTTCCCATGCCCAGTTCAGGGTTTTGGTTGTATTTTTATTTTATACAGGGATTTATTTTGTTTTTGTTTTATACTCCTATGGGCATGGTGTCCCCCTAATCTTAACCCCAGATACCTGTGAACATGACGTTATTAGGAAATAGGGTCTTTGCAGATTAAATAAAGTCAAAAATGAGTTCATACTTACTAGATTAGGGTGGGTTCTAATCTCATACCTAGTATCCTTATAAAAAAGAGGGAAATTTGGACACAGACACAGAGAGGAGAATGCCATGGGAAGACTGACACAGAGATTGGAGTTATGCAGCTATGGGCCAAGCAAGAAACACCGATTGCTGGCAATCACCAGCCAGGAGAGAGGCAGGGAAGATTCCTCCTTGGATCCTGCAGAAGAAAACAACCTTGATCTTGGCTTTCTAACCTCTAGAACTGTATAAGAATAAATACCTATGGGCGAGGTGCAGTGACTCACGCCTGTAATCCCAGCATTTTCAGAGGTCCAGGCAGGCAGATCATTTGAGGTCAGGAGTTTGATACCAGCCTGGCCAATATGGTGAAACCCCGTCTCTACCAAAAATACAAAAATTAGTCAGGCATGGTGATGTGCACCTGTAGTCCCAGCTACTTGGGAGGCTGAGGCAGGAGAATCGCTTGAACCTGGGAGGCAGCAGTTGCAATGAACCGAGATCACGCCATTGCACTCCAGCCTGGGCATTGCAGCAAGACCCTGTCCCAAATAAATGATAAATTCCTGTTGTCTTTAGTCACCCAGTTTGTGATAATTTGTTATAGCAGCCCAAGGAAACTAATACAGACTCTATCCCTCTGATTTCTTTCTTTTTTTTTTTTTTTTAAAGATGGAGTCTTGCTCTGTCACCCAGGCTGGAGTGCAATGGTTCAATGACTAATTCTCAGCTCACTGCAACCTCTGTCTCCCTGGTTCAAGTGATTCTCCTGCCTCAGCCTCCTGAGTAGCTGGGATTACAGGCACCTGCCATCATGCCTGACTAATTTTTGTATTTTTGTGGAGACGGAGTTTCACCATGTTAGCCAGGCTGGTCTTGAACTCCTGACCTCAGGTGATCCACCCGCCTCAGCCTCCCAAAGTGCTGGGATTACAGGTGTAAGCCACTGCACCCAACCTCCTCTGATTTCTTTACTGCAAATAGTTCACTTGGAGTGGGTAGATTCTTTGGCACTTTTCTCAATAATGAGATCTGACTGTAAGCTTCTAGTTTTTAAAAGATTATATAGCATAATCACTATAGTACATTTCTTTATCTGTAAACTGGACACCTCTAGAGTAAATGCCATGATGCCCAACATTCTATGGTTTGAATTGGTCTTGACTGGTCTCTTGCCCACCTTCCCCCAATGGGAGCTCTGTGTGCATGGCCAGGACCCTAACTGGAATGTGACCCAAGGGTTTTTAGCATTTCGGTCTTGAGAACTGATTTTTTCTCTTTCCCATTTTAGCTTTCACATGCAATTATAATTTTAAAGTTGAGCTGACTCTTGACTAAAGAGGTCAGCCTTGGCCTCCTGTTTTCAGAGGTTCCGTGTACAAAAATAAACCAGACTGGGAGAAGGGCTTTATTCTGTCCTTCGTTTTCCTTCACAATGCAAGCTGGTATCGTAGGACTGGGAGGATCCCACTAAATATCTTGAAAATGTGTTGGACCTGCAAAAGTTTAGTCCAAAAGACTTTCAAAATGGACCTTGGCCTCACATGAAATTCTTAGAATTACCCTATTTTTTTCCTTCCGTCTATTTCATCTTTAGGCTAAGAGGGCCCATAGATTTATTTACCCTCATGGCAAAGGATTCCAACTTCGCAAATTACCAGGGAAAGGGAATAGAAAATCAAATGTACTGCATTTTTCCATCCACTGCCTGATTTTCATCAGCTTTCCACCTGGTTTCCTATGAGCAACCAATTCTGTTTTCACCCAAGAACGTGCTTAATCTCATGGAAAGCCTGCATTATCAATGCCTTTCTCTTTAAGAGATTAAATGATTGGCTATGTAAATTTCCTGAAATGCCTGGGGTTGCATCATTCCACTTGATATGAGGTAAATGGGTAGAATATAAAGCAATGAGATGGAATAGATAAGTCACAGAAAAGCCTGTCCTGGTTTCATCATTTTCCTCTCACCCCTTTGCCTTTGCATATGTGTTGATTCCTTTTGCCTGGAATGTCCTTTCCATCTTTCTTTAACTAGGTTATGCCTGTCCTTTTTAAAGCCTTGTGTCATCTTTCCTGGGAAGACATCCCCGATCCTCCTGCTTGCCACTTCCTGCTTCCCTTTCCTTTTATTGATAGGTAGGTTTAAGCCTCTGTGCATTCAACTCTGGGAGCCTTCCTTGCACTGTGATTGCAAGGTCTGTGCATGCATCCATTTCTTACTAAACTGAGCTCCCTGAGTGTGACTTTGAGCACCTAAAGTTGTCTATTTATGTACCGTCAGAGCTTGGCACACTGCCTGGCACAGGGCACAAGTATCAAAATGTGTATAAGGAAGGAAGGGAGGGAGGAAAGAAGAAATGGAGTAAGGAAGGAGGGCAGGAAGGGAGGGTTTTAATATTGTTAGGTGGAGAAACTGAAGGGCTTTGGTGACAAATGTGGCCACCATAGGAAGGAAACCAAAGGTGACAACAAGAGCCATCAGGTTGGCAGGACTTTCTGGGAAGATGCTACGGCACTAGCCTCAGAGAAAATTCTCTAGCCTCAAAGATAGGTTAGGGAATGATCGACTACCCCACCGTGTTGCCTATTGTAAGTTGTCTCTTTTAAATATTTGCTGAAAGTCTACTGTATATAGAACACTGGAATGGGCTAGGGAAGGGAAAGGGAGTGATTTTTAAAAACTATGAAATATGAAGTCCAACTTGGAGTCCAAAAGTGCAGATGACAAAACAGAGAAAGAATTCAGCTGCTATTAACAAGCTTAAAACTCTAAACCTGGAAAAACAAATCCTCTACTGCTTAGTAAATATTTGTTGAATAGCTGAATGAGGGTCCATCATGTGCCAGCCACTGTCCTGGGAAGGCACCGTAGGGGACACAGATAAATAAGACACAACCTTTCCCTCTGGAAGTTCGCTGCGGCACACTACGTGCCTCTCTCTACACTCCTCCCCACAAATGATCAATGCTACTAGTCCTATCACACTTACTATGTTATTTCTTCCTAAGTCCCTAGGTCTTACAGTTTCTGAGTACCCAGTGTAATGGGCAAACAGTTCCTAAACTGCTGTCGTCTCACCATTTCACCCCTCAAAGGACACATCTGCTGATGTAAACATGTAGGGAAGGTGCAGGGAAGAAGAGAAAGAAGTGAGGATCCCAAAGACCATAACTCTTTTAAAACTTGGTCTGCTCATCAAAACCACCCCCAGAATTCAGAATGTTAAAACTATAAAAATTGAAACTTACTCATTATGTGCCATCGGAAGTATATAGTCAGAATTCAGCATCTGACCACCTTTTCTAGGCATATGTTGATTTACAATATTTGCACCCAGTAGGGTTGTTTATGTAGGTGTGTTACCTTGTGCCCTCTGAACCTTCTCTTACTACTGTTAAGTCATAATTGTATAAATACAAAGAGATTGCTCTATAGAAGTTAAAAGAAGTACAGTACATGATCAGTCCTCATTTATCCAGAGTGAAAAGTATAAATGTGTGAATAAACTTGGCAGAGAGTTGCCTGGCAGGAGGTGCAGGGCAGTGAGTGGCTCAGTGTAACTGGAGCCTGAGATTCTTGGAGTAGGAGGGAAGGTGGGCTGAGGCCAAGTTATGAAAGGCCTTGGAGGCCGTCCGT